TCAGACCCTCTCATTCCTTAAGCTTCCTTCCTGGCCCTCGGCCTCACTTCCTCTTTTGTACATGCTTCCCGCTGACCAGGCTCTTGTCAATGAGCCCACAAAATTATTTCATGGGTTTGGGAGGTGATTCAGAGAGGAAAAGTCACATGTTTTATCTAAATTCAGAACAAATGATTTTCTTTCTAAACATAAACTTTCACTTAGGATACTGTAGTGAACTTGACTAATTGGAGATGCCGGCAACAATGGCTGACAGGTGTGTGCACTAAGTACTCATTGAAGAACATGACCAGTTGTCTGTGAAATCTTTAATGTTGCCAAGCATTTCTGTTTTTGTTTTTTGTTTTGTTTTGTTTTGTTTTTGAGACAGGGTTTCTCTGTGAAACAGTCTTGGCTATCCTGAAACTTACTATGTAGACCAGGCTGACCTCGATCTGACAGAGATCTGCCTGCCTCTGCCTTTCGAGTGCGGGGATTAAAGGCATGCACCCCCACCACCTGGCTCTAAGCACTTCTTAAACTCTTATTTTCAAGAGGAAGAGTAAATTAGTTTAACTAAGAATCATTTATTTCCAGTTCAAAGCTTATGCATGGTGTGCTAGGGAGTACCCACCTACCATTTTCATAAATACATCAGAAATAAGGAATCTGGCCCATCAGACAGAGTCATGCCATCTACAGGAGCATGTCCGGAGTTCAAACCACAACTCCAAGCTGCTGTCCATGGCCAAAAGCCATCCCTCCCAAACTCTGTAGGTATTGAACTTTACTCTTCTGATACCGAACAAAAAGCTCAATCCACCCCCACATTTTGTTGATGCTGCACAGGTTTTTTTTTTCAGTTTTTTAAATACATAAAAATATATTAAAACACGGAGGCTGTAAAATATTGATAGCAGATGAAAGAACCTTGCCCCCGTGGAAAAAAACGAGCCTTCCAAATTATGTGTCAAGCATCAAACGCCTGCTGTCAGTCCAGGACTAGGGAGATTTCCTAGGCCTCTTCCTGCCTTGCTGTTTGACCTTCTCAGGAAGCAGCGGCTTATTTCCCTTCAACCAGAATGGGTGTCTGCATTTGTGAATTAAACATAAGGAGGGCTTTCTGCTCAGGGGAGATAAAAGCCACGCAAAGGGACGTTGCCAGGTTTCAGCGGTAGGACGTTCGGGGACTCGAGTGAGGAGGGGGATGACTTAGGAAGTTGGCAAAAGGACAGTTTGTTCCTTTGAAACTTTTTTTTTACGATTTTATTTTCTACTCTCTTCCTAATTAAATGAACCAGTAAACCAAAACGGAGTTTTACATTTATGGAAGACTGAAAACAAAACAGCTGCCAACGGGTCTGTTTTCACTGAGGAAAATGAATCCATTTCCTGGGTTCTTTTATTTGGTTTGTTTGTTTTTCTTTCTGAAAAGCATTGTTGGGTCATTATTTTCTTCATTAATAAGATACATAATAACCTCGCGTTTGCCACTATTCTAAAGAATAAGCCGGAAGTGTCACAACCGGCTTCCCTGCACGCTGGTGCGGCAAACAGCACGCGCCACGGTGGGATTCCTGTCAGGGTGGCAGCTTTCACATTTCACAGTTCTTTTCTGCAGCGATTTGGGGTCAGCAGATCCTGAGGTCTTTAGACGCTTGGTTTGTCAGGCACTGGCTTCTGTTAACTAAAGGGAGGAAGGCTGCAGGCAGCAGAGTGGGGTGGGGGATAAATACATAAATGCCCCTTCTGAACCATAGCAGAAGCCAAGGAGGTTCACATGACATACACCGAAGAACCATCACAGATGTCCACTTTTGCCCTCCACACCTAGGACAGCAGAGGCCTCTGAAGACAGGAAACGCACAAAAGGAGTCTGGTTATCATCTCCTCGTGTGTCTGTTTAGAGACTTTCCAAGGTGACAGGGCAGGAAGGAGAGAACTGCAGACACAGTAGGCAGAGGAGACAGAATCAAGGCTATGGATGCCAAGGTATAAGGCTTTCATAAAACAAGGAGAGAAGGAGGGGGTGGGGGCACCTGAGAGATTTGTGGTGTCGCTCTAATCCTCAGATGCATGTGAGAAACGGACAGGTGAGTGGGGAAACCCTAAGGAATCGGGATGGAGGTGCAACAGCCATGCAGTTGTGCAGGCTGTGGACAGAGCAGTTCAGAAAAGTCACCCTGGACAACTCATGATGTGTGTGACAGTGGGTTTTGTCTCTGCAGTGAAGAAAGTAGAGGTCATTAGTCAGCCTCTCATGGCTTTGCAGGCCACACTTGGGTCCACCTCTGGAGCTTTCCATCCCACCACACGAAACTGCATCCTTTGAACGTCCTTCAACCTTCTCCTCCATCCACACCCCACCCTGCAGACCCCAGCAATCAGCCATATCTCCACCCTGCAGACCCCGACAACCATCCACGCCCCACCCTGCAGACCCCGTAACCATCCACACCTCCACCCTGCAGACCCTGGCAACCATCCATTTAGGAACTTACACATACTGTGTGTCTCCAAACAATTAAAGAAAACGAAGGAAAGGATCTGAACTAGAACAAGAGGCAAGGGTACATGGGAGAGTTTGGAGAGAGGACAGAGAAGGGGAAGTGATGTAACTATATTATAATTCCAAAATAACTATTTAAAAATGTTATTAAAATGTAAGTGAAGAAAACAATCACCAGTGAATGTATTGGAAACAGACTTATTATATTGGGTTATACTGAATGGAGACCTAGCCAGAATTCTGACTCTCTCTCTCTCTCTCTCTCTTTTTTTCTCTCTCTCTCTCTTACACACACACACACACACACACACACACACACACACACACACTCATGCTGAAGCAACGTGGAGTACCAGAGTCCAAAAATGAGTCCAAAAATGGGGTTAGATGTATCAATGAAGAAGCAACATGGCTTATTCAAGTATGTAAAAGGAAAGCTATTTATCTCTTTAAGTGGGTTAGTTTTTCACCAACAGTCATATTTGACAAATATCTCAGCTCATATATGTTATAGGAGCATTTCCTAATGAGACAGGGACAAACGTCTACCTACCCCAGGCAGCACACAAGCATCACATGGAAGAAACAATGCTATCCAAGGCCAGCTTGATGATCCAGTGAGTGTGGAGGGCTTATTACAGAAGCGTAGGAGAGAGCTGATTATGCTGTCTCAAATAAGCAAATAAAATGGCAAATATGATAATGATGGTTACACTATTGTTAGAAATGATTTGGTGTTAGGGAAGGAGCTGTTCACTACCTGAAAACAAAACCCACTTGATCATGATTTCTGGTGACACAATTGTCCAGTGGACAGGGATGATCACAGGGCCCAGCTTACTTCCACAGGAATGTGAGGAGAAACCATGTGTTTAGTGTGGAAAGTGGAGAAGAACTGCCTTCTGAACCAGTGTCTTTTAGGTGGTGGGTTTGGCAGTGAATCCGTCAGCATCAAGGGGAGCAGAAATCAGAAAACTGTCATTTTAATTATTTCATTTCCTTCCAAGAGTGTGTGACAGTCTCCTCTCCCCATGCTTTCCTTTTTAAATCACACTGATAAGTAAATTTCTGTTCTTTGCCTGAACAAAAATTTAACCTGAAAAGTAGTCAGATTAAATTTGAATGGATTTTATATCCTTGTCAGTAACAGGAACAGAAATTATAATAATCTGTTAGGAATTGGCAATTACTTTTAATATTATATATTTAAACTCTATTTTATATGTTTACTATATATAAAATTTTACAGTTTAAAGATCCCACAGCATGCCAATGCAGTAGGCAATGTTGGTCTTGGGCTGTATATTATTGACTTAAAAAGTTGCAATGATAGTCTTTAGTGTCTTGCTATATACTATACACACACACACACACACATATATATATATATTCAACTATATAGGGCAGATGGCATCTTATGATAGAAATGCAGGAGCCCTTTAGCTGTTTTAGAGAATATCTATCGTATCTAGTTGAAAAACAGTATAAGATCTGAAGCATCTCTCAGACTATGTGATTAATTTTGCTCCGCTCAAAGGCAGTTTGTTAGCACTCATTGTTTACCATGACAACGTAAGCATGTCCCTGTTAAAGCATCCTTGTGAGTTATCTCATCTTTGATGGTAACTGTTTATTTCACACTGTTCACAAATGCCATCCAAGTCCTAGGTGCCGTGTGCTCCTTGACATGTGCCCGCCCCCCTTAGCCAGAAGGTGGTTGCTAACACCTGGGATTGAGCAGATGGCAGCATTGGGGTGGCCCCACGTTGTTTCTCTGCTCAGCGGAGCACGCTGCTGGAAGTGATTTCCATCCTTTCTTGTAAGGCCCTTTCACCTGCTGCAAGTACACAACACGCTTCATTCTGTACCACTTGTCAAAACGCCAGCAAAGTTTAGAGAAAATAGAGAATTTTAATGTGAAGCCTCAGGCATCCCGCTGCCACGGCTCCCGGACCCCTGGCTGCCTTACCAGCTAGCTACTCATCAGAATGACTGCAGCAGAGTGCACATCAAGGCAGTGGGACCACTGCTCTCGAGAAAGAGGCTGGTTCCCAGAGACAGTTCAGTGATGTGCACCACTCAAATGACAAACAGCATGTCCTGATACAAGCGATGCACTGACACTGCCTGTTTGCACGCCCCCACGGCCCTCCACTTTAGTGTCTGCCAGGGCAGCTTACCGACAGTGTGAGGACCATGCTTTCTCACTGTGAGACAGAAGTTAGTCTGCTGGATAGAGAAAGACTTTGTCTTTCTTTAGAATCACAGCTTGGGTTAGTTACTTTTCAACAAAGTAACAAAAACAGAATGAGCTTTTACTACTGACCAGCAACAACAGTTCCATCCTAGATGTCACATAAACACAGTATGTTCTGATCATCGTTTAATTTAATGCTGAGCGCTCTGGTTCATTAGCACTCTTCAAGGTATGGTGCTAAACCAATCACAGCAAAGCCTAGGGTGGGAGACAAACGCCAAGCCTTAGGATACAAAGTAGAAGAAAATGGAAACTTTAACTATAGGGTGTGCACCAAGAAACACTTCCTGCTTGCATAATGCCCAGGTACGTCCTTTTTTTTGATATTTTAGAGTTTTTAATAGTCAAACACAGAGGTCTGCTTAATTTCAGCTCCTTTGCTGCCAAGCCAGGGGGCAGGGACTGTTTCAACTTCTCGGCTTTCTCCCTGTCTGTGATGACCAGGGTGTAAAGGTATCTGCTGCAGCGAACCTTGAACTTCACATTATCCTTGTTCTTCTTGATTTTGACAGATTTGGCATCCTTCCGCCGGGCCGTGAGCAAGAAGTCCTTGATTTCCTCAATTTTCTGAGGCATGGCGATGGGCGCTCGACGCTGGAGACCATACAGCATTGAGAAAAGAAGAGAACAGAAAAAGCCCGGGTACGTCTTACATAAGCATTATGACCTAATTTTTAATCTTTGACTTTATGTCAATTAAGTTTCTCTGTGACATATCTAATAGAAATAAAATCTTTTATTCTAATAAAGCTCCTATCTGTGGCTATAAGATATGTATTTTAAAGGTGGTTAGGAATTTTATCCTATTTTAGTAATGTAATGGTTGCAAATTCTACCCCAAGATTCCTGACTTCACTATCTTCGGGTAGTTGGGTACATTTTCCGTACCACACATGGTTTCCCTCTTGTTGAGCAGGCCTGAGGTCTAATTACTGAGTTATTGGTTACTGTCAAGGTATATGTGCCACTATTGCCTCATTGGTTATTGTGCCATGGTGGGCATTTTTTGTGGTTCATAGGCATTATAGCTGGGTATGACTATTAGTTGCTTCCCTCTTTATAGTCGTATATTATTTGTGTTTTAACAAACAAAACATCCACACTAATCAGTCATACAAGCAAGGGAGTGGTAGTACACATCTTTAATTCCAGGAAGTGGGAGGTGGTGGAGGCAGATGGATCTCTGTAAGTTCAAGGCCACCCTGGGCTACAGAAGACTGGATCTGTCTAAAAAAGAAACAGTTCATACAAAGGATCCCAGCACTTGGGAGTCACATGCCTTCAATCCTAGCACTAGGGAGGTGGAGAGATATGGCTGGACAGAGAGAGGAATAAAGTGGGGAAGAGATAGGAACTCAGTGGAATGTGGAGTTTTGTGGGATGTAGAGTCTTGGGGATTCATGGAGACAGGATCTCTCCCATTTTCAGTCCAAGGTAGAGGTAAGAGCCAGTGGCTGACTGCTTTGTTTTTCTGATCTTCAGGCTGAACCCCAACATTTGTCTCTGGTTTTTATTAATCTTGCTACACCTCCTTTAAAAGTTTGCATGGAAAATATCTGATGCCATAAAGACTAGTCCTCAGTGAGAAGGTTTCTCAAGTCACATCCAGCTCAGGTCTTCTGGGTCCTAGTGTGTGCGTGTGTGTGCGTGCGTGTGTGTGTGTGAGCGCGCACACACACGTGCGCGTGCAATGACAATTAAGGAGTAACAGGCCACAAACTTGAGAGAGATCAAGAAGATACATGTGAGGGGTTGGAGAGAGAAAGAGAAGGGAAAATGATATGATTATATTATCATTTCAAAAGACAAAGTGGTATTAAAAGGAAGCCTACAGATCTGAACAGATAACTCCCAGAAGAAACACCACAAACGCTAAGAAATATTTTTAGAAGGGTTCATTATTCTTAGCTATCTGAGAAATTAAATTAATACTACTTTGAGAGTTCCTCTTATCCTGGTTGGAGGGGCCAAGATCAAGAAAACAACTGACAACAAAAAGTGCTGTGGGTGAAAGAAAAGGGAATCTATTCACTGCTGGTGGGGTGGATGGTACATCCTGTATGGAAATCAGTGTGGAGGTTCTTCGAAGAGTCAGAAATAGATCTACCATACGGTCCTGCTCCACCACTGCTGGGCGTATACCCAAAAGACTCTACATCCTGCTACAGAGACACAAGAGGACCCCTGCTCGCTGCTGCTCGAGTCACAGTAGCTGGGACATGGAAACAGCCTGAATAGCCATCTGCTGACAGATAGATAATGAAATTTGATACACTCAGACGATGGAAGTCTACTCATCTGTGAAGAAAAAGTTTTTCCTAAATGGAATTAGGAAAAAATTATACTGAGAGAAATAACCCAAACAACAAAGAGAAAAGTCTTACGTTTTCTCTCGTATGTGGGTCCTGGCTTCAAACCTTTGGAGATGTAGAAACCAGGGTGCCAGAGAGAAAGGGAAGAACCTAGCAAAGAGGGACAGGGTAGCCGAGCACAGCTGGTACTGGGGATGGGCAGCAGAATAATGTAGCAGGAAGATGACGAGGGGAGAGTGTTAGAAAGGTAGGGCAGAGGGAAGATGACTAGCTTCTCTCTCTTCCCCCTTCCTCCGCATGTGTGTGTATGTGTGTGTGTGTCTGTATCCACGTGTATGTGTGCACGCATGTGTGTGAGTGTCTAGAGTTGACCTACATGGAAGGATAATGCTTGTTCCCATGGCCATTCTCTATCAAATAAGAAAGTTTGATTCCAGGTTGGATGCCCTTGTCAAGTTGTTGATTACAGTGGTCCTGGAGACCTCCAGCATAATACAGTCCGTTGCCTTTTTATCCCCTAGAACTTGATGCTCAGAACCCATTGCTGGTGTGAAGACATCAAGCTGGTATTGACCTGGAAGCTTCCACCTTGTTGCCTAGCTTTCATGGTGCCAAAAGATGCTTTGTAGGATACTGGATACAAAAAACCACCAAGACCCTTGCCCAGCTTGAAGGTTCTGTGCTATACTAACAGCCTCTACACTGGAGAGAACTCGGGCCTGGTCCTGTAAATGCTGCTGAGGGAGGTCAAAGACCCTATCACTAGTTTGCTACAGGGACACAGTATTAGTGAGCCTTCTGAATACTCATCCTTGTATCCATCAATGAGTGCTGTTTTCACCTGTCCGCACAGAAACTCCTCTATGCCAAGGCTGGTGGTTAATACGAAGACTCCCAGTTGATCAAGGTGTAGAGAATAAGTGATACGGAATGCTCATCCCAAAGTGGAATATCTGTAACACAGACAGACAGACACACAGACAAACACACACACACACACACATACACACACACACACACCACACATACACACACACACACACCACACACACATACACAATACACACACATCACACACATACACAATACACACACATCACACACATACACATACAAACACACACATACACAATACACACACATCACATACATACACATACAAACACACACATACACAATACACACACAAACACACACACGCACAAACACACCTTAAGGAACATCATGGAAAGGGAGCAGAATAACTGTAAAAGCCAGGCATCAGGAAGAGTGTCCTCTGAACAAAGTAGAGTCCTTACACACATGAACCCACATCAGTCGCATATAGCTTCTGAAGAAGACCGACTGAAGATCAAGTTAGTCAGCGCTCCAGCATGGAGACGGAAAAAGAAGCTCATGAGTTGCCACCCCTCAACCCTTGTCTGAAGAGTTACTTGTTGCTGATGGTAGCTGGGGGAAGAAGAGTCCATTTTCTTCCATGATGTGATCCATGGTAGGACTCCCATGCTCAGTAGGTGGTACTTGATGCCACCATCAAGTGATGGGTAGCACTTATTAGACTCTGTGACATGGAAAGCAAAGTCAGGAAACTGAGGAGATGGTTTGCCATTAAAGTCCTTGGTGCTCACAATCATCAGGATGGAATTCTGATCCCTAGCACTCACATAAAAATCTTGGTAGGGTGGTGTACCTCTGTGATCAAAGCACTGTAAAGGCCGGGACAGGAGAATTCTGGTGTTCACAGTCCAGACGGTCTAGATAAAGCAAGGAACTCTAGGTTCAGTGGGAGACAGCCTCAGAAGGGAAGGTGGATAGTGCTTGGATGAAACATCTGATATTGGTCACAGACTTTCATATATGCACATACATGTGCATAAACATGTGAACACATACATAAATACATACATACACTATACAAATATGAACAAAAATATTTTTTTAAAAAAAGCTAATTTAACCAATATAGGAAACAGGTTGGTGAACTGAGCACAGAAACGGATTTGCCCTGAAGACAACTGTCATATGAGAAATCTGTGTGATAAGATACACAGATACTCAGCATTGTGTGTTCATTCAGGTTAACTCCAGGATCCATAGGGTAGACAGTCTGAGAGAGATTCTTCTCCCACAAGTAGTGTCTACTTCTTCAGATTAACTATCAATAGAAAAGTGGTATTAATAACCTTTTCCAGGAGAACAAGGAGCATCATTTTAAAGCCATGCAAAAGATGGCATAGAAACTAGGATGACAGAGCCGCAGTTGTATGCCTTGGGTTCAGTTCGGATCCAATTTGCATTTTCCGGGGACTGCCTCTGGCCATCTCGTCAAGGAAACTCTATTAGACGCAAATTCAGTACTCTATGCAATGATATCCTTGCCCCTAGCCTCTACTGCCTGCATCAATAAGATGTCAAAGCAAATATTTGGCCCACACTCAAATATACCTAAATGTAACTAATTTCTTTTCTACAGAAAAGTCATGTCCATTCATATAGAGAAAATCAAAGAACTCTAATAAAATGTTAGGTTTCTTAGAGATAGATGTGCTTCAGGAACAGATGAACTAGTCTGAGAATGAATGGGGAAAGGGACTATTTGAAAAATGCTAAGTGGAACCTCTGGACATGTTGAAAATAGACACACTAAAATTAAAATGCCAATGGACAGGTTTAAGGACAAGCTGGACACACAGAGGGGACTGACCTTCACTGCCTGCCCTGTCACATGCCACTCCGAGCTCTTGCTGAGTCTGAGTGCATCCTAACCATCCCAGGGGGTAACAGAACAGCCACTGAAGAAGGGAGATGGCAGGAAGTAGACATGAGACAGCGGAGGAGGAAAGGGTGAGGAAGGAAAGAACAGATGGTGGGAAGGGGAGTGAGCATGAGAGCAGTAGGAACAGGGATGGGAAGGAATCACCCTGCCACGGAGAAGCAGAAGACACCACCAAGCAAAGAATACGCTACAGAAAAAATGAAAAGAACACACTGTTATCTTGTTCTCTGTCTCAGATTCTAAATGTGAATGTGTGTGTATGAGACAACACAGAAAGTTGCCCACCATGAAGTTGTGAGATACAGCATTTCCAGATTGTGGTGCCAAGGGGAGGAGGGAATCTCTAAACGCATTGGTTCTCTGGTCTGGTATAACAAAGGAGCTCATAACAATGGATGTTGTCCACAAGCCCAATTGAGACAGGCAAGCATAGGGAATAGTTCAGTCAACTGAGCCTCTCCTTGGTATGGGCTATGCATGCTGCCACA